TTGATTTCAACAAGAACTTCTGTCACATGCAGCTCAGGATAAGAAAAGGCTCACCAATTGCTTTTGCACACATCTCTTTGTGATGGTACTATCTACCTCCCATGTTTTCTCCACCAAGATCCAAAACTGCAATTAGATATCTAAGATTCACAAGCAGCTCCATATTCATGGCATTTTTTTGAAAGCCCAGCCACAAATGTGCTCCAAAGAAAAGCGGGTCTCTGAATAGGCAAAGATTCCTCATTACCTGTAATCTCATACCTCATGAAGCATCATTTCTGAAAGAGCTTCAGAAAGGTTCATTAAAAGCAACTGGACAACAGTCTGCAAGGCCATCAGTAACAAGAAAACCAGGGCAGAGAAGCAGAACAAAATAGATAGTAAGTACTAATACTTCAAAAGAAAAATATATCAAAAAGTTTAGTGTCAGCAAAGAGGGATTAAGAAAATAACACAAATGCAGTAAGACAAAGAAAGGTCTGATAAGACAGAAAGCCTAGCATGCTGAAAATAAGGTTAGAAAGGCAATTCCTGATCAGGAGAGTTTTTATAAAAATATTACCTACAATACTCTGGCACTGACACTAAAAGATGAAAGTCAGAACAGCTGACTTCAATTTCAGTGCTAGATTTCAGAGCTGTGAGGTACTGATACACATAGAGCTACCTCCCAGAAATGATTAACCCCATTCACTGATGTAACATAGAGCACACTAGGTTTTATGGAGGAAGCAGATGCCCATGTGGCTTGTGGTTTCCCACACATCTCTAAATGCAAGTCACACAGTATAAAACAGTGACACTACTGCCCTTGTCCAGAGCTTTGCCTGGGGCTCAGTCTGCATTAGAAAATTGCAAAGCTTTGTTATACTAAGATCCCTACAAATTTCCCTGGACAGACAGACCTTGTCTTAAACACGTTCTATGCAGATTTCACTATTCCTGCAGGGAAGCTGGGACTGTTATCTCTTACAGCACTGCCCAGAGGCAAAGACATGCAGTTACACAGCGCTTTTTCCTTTTTCCCTGACCGAGCATAGAGGGGAAGGCAACAGAGGAAGTCAGGGGTATGATGGCAATTACATTTTGATAGCTTATACTAAATCCTGCATAGCAGCTGAGATGGGGCAGTGAAAACCATCAATTATCCATCAGCGGCTTTTGTCGGAAGCCGTACAGCTTTTTCAGGTATATGACAGTCTTCTTTGCCACAGTTATCTCAGGTTTCTTGTCTCACTGAAATTGTGCACTAAAATAATTTACATTGCTTAAAGACAGACCAGAGTATAAGCACTTCCATAAACTGATACACAAGCAAGCCTGCCCCTTTCCAAGCAGGACAAAGCCAACTCAAACTTAACCACAAGACCATCACCTGACAGCCACAAGGACCTGAGGGTAAAACTGTTTCTTTATACTTTTAATGGGCTGGTGATTTGTTTGTTGTATCAGTCTGCTGTCTTTTCGTGGACTCAATATTTTAAGGCATGTGGGCAGTACTTGGGCCAAGGTGGGTGGTAGTTACAGGGGGTGGTTCTGAGTGGTGCTTAACGGGTCATGCGTTCGTGGGGCGGTTGTCTCGGTATACAGGCGGTTGTTGCGCAGCATTAAATCAGCACTTGAGCTACATCCTATGCGTGCGTCTCTTACGTCCCTGCGCCAGGTGGGGGTGCAGACGAGAGGGGCGCTGATGAGGTGTTAACCAGGCTGGGATTGCAGGGAGGTTAGCAACAGGGTGCAGATCAGAAACCATCATTTTTGTATGTTTATACAGTGCCTACAATATAATAGCAAGAATATAATAGCAACTAGAAATAAAATAATTAAGTTGTTATGGTAATAACGACAGGGCTGAGTAACAGTGCCTCTGGTGGTGTAAAAGCTACATAAATGCATTTAACATTTGCCCAGATTTTCTACCCTCTCCACCCTAACTCCTGAGGGCACAAAAACAGGGAGACCAATGCATTGAGGGCTAACAGTCCTAGTAAGTCAGTACACAGCTGCTAGTGAGGTGACATGATAGGACACTTAAGGAAACAAATGAAAGTGACTGTTTCAAAATCTCCATTCTGAATGCTGTGGATTAAATGCCACTTAACACAGAAAATTAAAACTGAATACAAGATAGATGAATGAGAATCTGATACACTCCTCAGATCAGCAAACTAAGTCAGGCTTGGCACACTGATCCCTTTCACTGCACGCACAACAGCTTTCCTCACAATGATGCTGAAAACTCAGTTCCCTTTGGATGCTGGTTCTACTCAGCTAACTAACATCAACAGCACAAGGCTCCACATAGCTGTCTTAAGGTGTAAACACGCCCAGCTTTTAGATCGAGAAGACAAACAGTTGGTAAGGCAAATTCAGCTACATGCTCAGCTTTCACTTTATACCATTGATGCATCAGCGCCATTAACGGAAGATCCCTCAGCCTAAGCTAACACAAGACTGTAACTCTCATTGCTTTCAGAGGCATAAATACCAGAGAGCGTGGACACTGTGATCTCTCTACTGAAGATGATTAAGCAGAATACAGTCCAGATTCACGAATAATGCAGAGATAAAAGAGTAAAAGCTTATTTTTATTCTTTCTGCTAGCTACAATTGCATATAAAAAGTAGTGATGTGTTGCCTATTATGCTAGAAATTCTGTGAACATTTACAACTGCTTTCACTTAAGCAAGAACTGCCCTGAACTGATTATACTCTCAGTTAATGGCAGGCAAAATACATGGCTAAAACAGGAGGCAGAAAAAGAGACAAGGTAATGAAGTAAATTAGAGCATTTTGCATTTTAAGCAAATTTTATCATATTTCCCTACACCCTAAGATTGACAAGGACCTTTTCTGCAGCCCTTCTGCAGAGTTCATCCATGAGACCTGTTCGTTGTTTGTATGACAGCATCTACAGCCACATCAGAGAACCACTGTCATGCTGCAGAAGATATAGACACCTGCTCAGACAAGAGTGCTAAAGGCAATAAAGCGTATCAGAAAAATGATTGGAAGATACCTCAAGTAGCATCAGGTTTTACCAAAACATCATACTACCACTGACTTACCAACATTTTGTCTTACAAAGCACAGAGGTAAGACTGTACTGTCACTGCTTCCTCCAGTCCAGCCTATGCCTCATCAGTGGAAAAAGGGGGCACAAAAAAAAGGCCAGGAAAAAATAATCACCACTTACCAGATCTCATTACAATGCTGTCACTGCAACATCTTGCAGCATGCTGTTCTTCCTAACAGCTCAGTCTAAAGTGAGGGCATTCCCTTTGGAAGATGATGCATGAAACTACATTAGACTATTATTTGCATATTATAATGTATGGATGAGATTTTCAGATATTTAAACACTGGACCACTGAAATCAATAAGGGAATCATGTTACAGTTGTTTAGATTCCTTTAAAAATCTCAGCAATTACTGAAACTTATGGATTACTCTCCTATCCATTATAAAGACTGCCTGGTATAGAATACCAGATATATTATTAAACACAACAGAACAATGAGGTCAGATGCCTTTCATCACACCAGTTTAAACTCAGCATCGTTCTGATAAAATAAATGTGATTATTGGTATTTACAACAGTATATGGGAGAGCAGAATTTGACCCCTAATCTCTACCACATGAGTTGCTGCTCTGCAGCAAAATGCAGGCCCTAATAATATGTTCAGATGCCAGTTTAGTCTGCAACAACTAGCTAGCTATGCACCTAGCAAATTAGTAGAGCAGAAAGAACATTTAATGCTTATATCCAAGGCATGCACAAAGCTTGTACAAACTAGCCATATGTGTCAACACAAGCTGTAAGCTCAGTACAGCCTCCCTGCAACACAATACCAATGCTGCTTTTCCTAACTCAGTATTCACCGGGCCTCACTCTATTTTTTTCAACTCAGGTATAAACACAGTGGCACACATGATTTTTCCACAGTCCTTCTGGACTGAACTCGTGCCAGCGACTGCAGAATCAGATCAGCTAATTCCAACAGAAGTTGCAGAAAGCATTTTTTAATCTTTTTTTCCCTCCATAAACTAATGTTAAGCAATGAACTCTGAAATGTTCTTTTAATATATATTGGTTTAGTCTGTACCAAAACATTTGTTTATTTTTTATGATTGCAATTACTACAGATTGTAAGAGATAACACATTTTTGTCTTTTTCCAGGAAAATTGAAACTTATCAAAAATTAAAGAGTCTTTTTTCTTCCATTATGAGTCAGAGAGAAAAAAGCGATATATCAAAGCCATAAAGGGGAAAAAAAAAAAAAAAAAAAAAAAAAAAAAAAAAAAAAAAAAAGGAAAAAAAAAGCACATTCAAATAAAGGCACTAAGTTCTGGTCTAGATGCCTGTGGATTCTGATTGTGCCTATACTAGCCCAAAGACAGCAGCAGCACATGTTCAGTCAGAACATACTTAAAAAGCTATTCTATAGTGCAGTCAAAAGGCATACATGGTGTGAATCATAATCCCAAAGACTGACACTAAAATTGCCTTAGATGTCTCACCGCTGAATATAGCTTAGCTTTTACATATTAACTTGACTTTAAAAGCATTGTATTTCTCATATTCACACTGCAAGCACGATGCAGGGGGGTGACTTTTATACAAGTAGGTGGGCTCTTTTTCCATTCCAGATCACTGCTGAGTTGAAGGTTTACAGACCACAGCAAGCCTGCCTCAATTGCTGTTAGAAAATGATGCCATCTTAAAGTAGCACAAAGGCAGGTCTCAATGAAAAAGAGTGGTTTCCTTCCATGTACTTGCCTATATACGTAATTCCACTTTACACTAACAGGTAGAAGATACTATTATAACGTCACTGTGTATCTACAGATAGAAAAGCTGTACCTGGATAATGCTCACTTAGATCAGATGTGAGAGATGCATAATCAATGGATATTAAGATATTATAATCACAAAATAAACAAGAGAGTTAGGCAAAGTAGACTATGATAACAAGAGAGAATAAATGGAAGGCTTACCCTTATGCTGGGCTCACCCACAAAACACGAGTAGAGGCAATCTCCAGAAGAGATCCTTCCCTGCTGATAGCCAGCTCTTCAATAGGTTTAGGAGAGGTGCAGCCTGGCTCCACCCCTTCCGGCAGTACAGGTGAATTGAATTGCCTTCACCTGTGCTCCTCTGGCTGACTCATGGCTCACCTCAGGTGATCAATCAGAGGTTCAGGCTGTGACTCCGCAGTTCCCATAGAAGAGGAAAGCAATTGGCTGTTGGGAAAGGCTGCTCTGTGCCTTTTTTGGAGAAAAGCTTCCAGATACTTAGATATTTATTGTAAAACAAGTCAAATTAGCATCAACATTCATGCAAGTTCAGAAAAAATAACTTCCCCTGGAAGCAAAACACTTGTTTTTGCTTCCCATTCCAAACTCAGCACGTCCAGTGCCAGGTGGGATGGCTGCAGTGAGGCAGCCAACTTCACACAGCTCCACCCATGCCAATAGCAGTGGATTCTCCCTGGTTTGGAGTCACAATTCTGTTCAACAGCTCAGGACCTCACACACTTTGGGATTTCAGTACTTCATAGTCTAGAGTTTTTCTGTTTATTTTCCTTTTTGTTAAACAAACCTCAGCAAATATTTAAACGTGATGTTCACAGCAGGCAAATTACAGAACAATCTGCCCAGGGGGAATGTTTCTTCCTAATTGGCACAAGTTGGAGTTTTATGCCTTGGCATACATGGTTCTTAGAGCTTTATCGTTTTATGTTACTTTACCCTCTTTGATGCAGGTATTGAGGTTCTCAGCACAGAGAGACAAAGACGCAGTCTCGAGGCTCATCATTCACAGTTTCCGCAGGGAGCTAGATTTTCAGCCTGTATTTTCTGCCTTTAAAAATTCACTTCAATGCCTCTTTGTATTCTGCTAACTTTCATCCAACTACTATATCTGACAGGACATCCTGCAGCAGGGGACACATCATTTGCTTTACGTATTATAAAAAGTTTGCCTTTCAAATCATGAAACATCTCCTTCCTTTTCTACTGTGGCATGTATAAAGCGGCATCATTGTATTAGTCCTAATTTCACATGCTTCTAGGATAATCTTCCATCACTCCCTCACTCTCCATATTAAACTAATACAAGGTGTAGCGATATCGGTAAGCCTGCTAATGCTTGCTGATGGATAACCCTGTAGTTGTTTAGAAAACAGGAAGAATCTGTGCCCTTGTGCTAAGTAGATGACATGATATACTGACTCCCTTATGCCAGGCAGATAAGAAGTTCTGTTTGGATCAGCTAATTTTGTGAAAGCAGATATTATAAGATCAAGGCAAAGAGATAACTGACCATGCATGAAGACCAGTTTCAACCAGCAAACAGAAGTGAAGAGGAAGACTAATTTCATCTAGAGTGCGTCACGATCACTACCACAAAAAGACTGAGCATGAGCAAGGAGGCAGAATCTTTTTTTAATGATTTGGGAGGAAGTACTGAATATGTACTGTCCATGAAAATCTTTGCATACGTAACACAAGTAATATATATAAGCTAAAGATCTTCTGTACCACATATGCGCAAGTAGGTGGAAGGATCCCCTCATGCATCCAGTGCCAAGAATAAAAGAATGCCTGCTTTCCAACTCTCCAAACTGAGTCTTAGAGAGTTTCCTTACTGACTGATTTACAGTACCAAAACAATCTTTTTATATGAATGCTACCTCATATTTATAAGAGTAATCACTTCTCCCTGAAGACCTTTTATTCCCATAATGCTTCTTTGCACGCAGAATGACTGATAACAGAGCCAGGCTCCCAGTTGACGATGTTCTCCCAACCTACTCTGCATCTGATGTTAGAGATCTTAACCAGGAGCAGTGCTTACTATTGAGTCTGCTGGCAGTCCAAAATCAATTGTTACCAACCTTTTCCATGTTGCAGATCCTAAATATTACACGTTGTACAACAAATCTAAGCAGACAGAGAAGAGGCTTGCTTTCCTTGGTCACACTTAGAAGATCTTCCAAACCACAGATTTAATAAATAACTAAATCAATTGCCCTGAAAAGAGGTACAAGTTTTTCATTTAGTTCAACAAGGTGTTAACATTACAGTACAGCACCATGTGTGCCAGCACTCTGTGCATCTGAAGGAATGATGACCCATAGAATCATCAGAGTGTTTTGCAACTGCAGGAAGATTTAGCTGGGCTCATCTGTGTTTTCCAGACAGATCTCTGAAGCTGGAGAATCCTAAGTCAAAGCAGGGGGTTTAGAGAAATTCTGATTCATTTCCTGTGGCCCTGATTAGCATTAATATATGGAAATTTTCATGCAAAAGTGTAACATTTAAACGTAAAAGTTCCAACCCATATAATAATTACCTATACTTAAAAAAAAAGGTTTTTAAAGACCGGTAAGTGTAAGATAAAAGAATGAGCATATAACTATCATGATAACTATCCTACATAAGTTCAAATAGTTATTGTAGCTGAGATAACAGAATTTTTCTTTCAGAATTCTGACTCAGGAAGAGGCTTACAAGTGTAACTTAAGATTTAATAATTTAATAATTTAATATAAATAAAGCTAGTTGAGAAATACTGGTTGCTTTTCTGAAGAAAATTCTGAACGAGTTTATAATTTGCATTAAAGCACTTTGCTCCACTAACCATTAGACACATCTTTAAGATATATTTTCAAAGCTGAAATGTTTCTTCCCAAAAGCAGAGTTACTTTTTTCCCTTCAAGAAGGAGGAGAGAGAGCAGAAATTAAAACTCAGTACAAAAATCTATGTTTCCATTTTTCCCCTGCAAATTTTCCACAAGCCTGAAAGTTAATTATGCTTACTGCACTGAAACAAAGACCAGACAGGGATCCCTCAACCAGGCATGTGAGGGCCAGACCCTGCAGATCCTGCACAAGGCTACCCAACTCCAGTGCCATCCCCAGTGTATGCTGTGACTGCTGAGCAGCCCCTGCACAGGATCCCAGCTGCTGCTCACCTCCAGTTCAGTTGTGCCTGACCTAACCCACACTGCAGCACAGAACCCGCACTCCTCACACGTGAGTGCCATGAGTTGATATCCCATGTTAGATATCATGCAGGTGAAGAGCAGGCCCACAAAGGGAAGCACACTAGGCCCCCAGCCCAACCTGGAATAACTTATACTTGGCCTAGAAGAATGGCTAAATCCCATGGGCAAATCATCTGGTAACACTCAAAGAAGAGAAAGACAGGAGCTGTGCCAAAGAAAACAGCGGGAGCAGTCTGCCCTGGTGAGTGTCCCTTTCTCCAGGGATACCAGGACCCAGGAGAAGGTGTTCCTCGAGCAGCAATCAGGCAGTGACTTCAGCCAGGATTCTTGTCCTCTCTCTCTGGATTTACACATACCAGATTGCTTGGCTTTGCTTTGAACTCAAGCAGAGAATTGGACAATTCCCTCCTCAAGATGAAGCTAGGGTAGAAATAAGAAAAATGTAAACAAAATTAATCCAGGACAGTGACAACCTGAGGACTGGGGTGGAAGGATTTATTCATTTTCTTGACAATAGCCACAGAGAAAGGAAACAGTCCCCTGCCTCTCCCCAGGGACCTGAATCGAATTCTCAGAGCTGCCAATCAGATCAAGAATTTAACAGCTTTTATTCTGTGGGGAGGCTCTCTGGAGCCAGCAGGTCAGCATCTGGATGCTGCCCCAAGCCTACACAAGCAAAGCAGCCAGAATCAGGAATGTGCCTGGCTTGCCATGCAGTGGGAGATTTTAGAAATGTACAAAGAAGCAGTTTCTCTCTCATTTATGGCAACAAAAAGCTGGAAAATCAGAGAATCCTGAATTACTTCACTGAAACAGTACGGCACAAACTTCAGACCAGAAATCTTTGGCGTTTGGACACAGTGTTGCTGTAAACTCCACTTCGAGAAATTCAGACCCTGACTTGCTCCTGATGATTGATAACCAACTAGTTTCACTGGTTCTCATTTGGAACAGTGGTTCTGGAGGAACTATGCCAGTGCATACAAATAAAGAGACTTTTTATGAGGTTAGCTCTTCTTCCATGACAGTTTGCAAAGAATTAAGTGGCACCTTACGTGACTTTTAGACCACAGCTTGCAAAATTAACTCTCAGAATCACAGAATGGCCCAGATTGAAAGGGACCTCAAGGATCATGAATCTCCATCCCCCTTGCCACGGGCAAACCATTCAGAGTGCAGGAAGGATGATAAGCTCTTAGAGTCAGTTATTGCAAAGCTGTGTCCCAGTTGATTTGCCACTGAATTTAGTGATAATTCCACATACCAAGTGCAAGGTCCTGCACCTGGGTTGGGGCAATCCCAAGCATAGATACAGGTTTGACAGAGAATGGCCTGAGAGCAGCCCTGAGGAGGTAGATTTGGGGGTGTTGATTGATGAAAGAGTCAACAGGAGCTAGCAATGTGCGCTTGTAGCCCAGAAGGCCAACCATATCCTGCGCTGCATCAAAAGATGCATGACCAGCAGTAGATGGAGGGAGGTGATTCTGCCCCTCTGTTCTGCTCTTGTGAGACCCCACCCTGGGGGTGGGACCTCTTATAAGGGCATGTAGCTTTGAACTGGAAGAGGGTAGATTTAGACTACATATTAAGAAGAAATTCTTTACTGTGAGAGTGGTGAGACACTGCAGCACGTTGCCCAGAGAGGTTGTGGATGCCCCCCTCTCAGGAAGCACTCAAGACCAGGCTGGATGGGGCTGTGAGCAACCTGGGCTGAAGGGAGGCGTCCCTGCCTTTAGTGGGGGGTTGGGGTGATCTTAAAGGTCCATTCTAACACAAATCATTCTATGATTCTATGATTCATATTTCTATAAAATTAACTTACATAGGTTAGTTGCAGTGAGTCCATCATATACAATGTTTTTTCCTAAACATCCCTGATGTACACAGTATATTTATTACTACAAGATTTACACAGCTGCTTCTACAGAAACAAACAGGACCATATGGGTACCTCTGATACCAGCAATTCAATCTTTATTTCCTTGCAGTTTTATTTCTTCTGCTTTTGTTAAATGCTCAGCAAGAAAAATCACGGTGCAAAGAATACCAGCCCCTCCTTTGTTCTTTCCTGGGACATTTATTGTGCCGGCATTTTTTTTATGCTGCTTAAAGCATGTTACAACCTATGTAAGATGCCATATTCTTCTGAAAATCCTGGAAAGATTGGGAACCATCTTTTACT